ATTTCAATCGATCCATTGTCCATGGATTACCTACTTAGGACATATATCGTTTATTGAGATAGTCCTAATTAGTATCTTTGCCATTTGCTGTATAAGATTCATCTATACATCCATTCATTTGTCCTGAAAGGTTTCTTCCAAAGATTGACTTTCAGGGCATATTTCCAACAGGAAGGTTTCAGAGGATATATGTTTATTTAGGGGCATGCAAAGAAGGCTTTAAGGAAGGATGTAGACCTTTGATAGGTTTAGATGGGTGCCACTTAAAGATTTTACATGGAAAGCAGTTGTTATGTGCTGTTGGCATTCATTCAAACGATGAGACATGGGTTATTGCTTAAGCAGTGGTAGAAATGGAAAATAAGGCAGCTTGGATTTAGTTTTTACAACTGTTAGCTGATGATGTGGGTATAGAAAACCAAAATGGGTGGACATTTATCAGTGACAAGCCAAATGGGCTAATTCCAGCATTTCAAAAGGTTCTCCCCATATGCCACCACAGATTCTGTATGAGGCATTTGTACACAAACTATAGGAATTTGTTCAAGAGGAAGACTTTGAATGATGCTCTATGAGCAGTTGCCAAAACAACAACGGTTCCACACTTCAAAAAGGCAATGGAAGAGGTTAAGAAGCTAGATGATGAGGCTTACAAATGGCTAGTGAAGAAGCCCGTAAGTCACTGGAGCAAGTCCCACTTTGACTACCTATCCAAAGTGTGACATGTTACTGAATATTTTGTGTGAATCATTCAATGCAGTCATACTAGTGCAAGGGAAAAGCCTATTATAACTATGATGCAAATGATTCACACTATGTTGATGAATAGAATTCAAATGTGGTGAGGTATAATGATGAAGCAAGTAGGAGATCTCTGCCCTAAGATTAAGAAGAAGTTGGAGGAAGCCAAACTCTTAAGTGGCAGGTGCATTGCACAATGGTCAGGAGAGACCAAATTTCAAGTGGATGCTGGAGGTGGGGAACAATATATGGTGGACTTGTTTGACAAGACATGCTCTTGTAGGAAGTATGACTTGACGAGAATAACTTGCAACCATGCAATATCTGCCATCCATTTCAAGAGAGAAAAACCTAAGGATTATGTGAATGCTTACTATTCAAAAGCACGGTACTTGGAAGTTTATTCTCACGTAATAATGTCGATGAATGGTATGTCATTATGGGATGATACTGACAACCCACAAATCTTGCCTCTATTATACAAGGCAACCTAGAAGACCAAGGAAGAAGAGAAACAAAGAAGCTACTGAATTGGAGAAAAATGGTGAACAAACTCCTACCAACCCACCAAATAATCCTGAAGGTCCTTCTAAGCCACTTAAGCTAGGAAAGAAAGGGCAAGGTCCTTTGAAGTGTACTATATGCAAGCAAGAATGACATAATTCAAGGGCCTATCATCAACATCTTCCTCCCAGGGATAAACAGGTAACATTTTGTATTTTCTTTAATCCTTTAATCCATGTGCTCGAATGATTTTATACTTTGTTAAAGGCATCCACATCAGTAGAAGGGAGAGCATCATCATCAGTCGAAGCTGCACCTAGAAAAGGACAAGGAAAACTAAGGTAAAACCCTAATCCTCTCATTTGTTTACAACAGCAAGTTTAGTTTAGAACCTTGCTTTACATCTAACCTTTAGTAATGAATATTGAAATTAAGCATCACAAACAGGGGATGGTTCATTTGCAAATCCTGAAACTCATTCACCGAGACCCACCAAGCAGAGAAAGGCAAGGCAAACCAAGACCTAAAGATGCCAGAAATTGTAACAACTTAATGTTTTTTAGTTCATGTTTTATGTGCAATTGGAACTGAAATTATGGTACATGGGTTCTGGAATTAGACATCACAAACACTGAATTTCTTTTGGTTTTTTGAACTGATTTGGAACCCTGAAAATGCACTGTTTTGCTAGATGGATTTGACAGTAGGTTTTTTGAATTAGTGCACTGTGCATTTTGGGATATTTAAGGATGTCAAATGGATATCTTTGTAAATGTTGGATGGATTACCAATGACATATGAATTACAGTTCATCTTTTGATCTTTGCAAATGTTTTGTTTGAAGTGGACTTTGTGTTCATCTTTTGGTTATATCATGTGTTTATGTAGGATTTGTGTTCATCTCTAGCTTACATCATGTGTTGATGTGGGATCATGTGTTTAAGTAGAATTTCCATTTGGTTTTTTAGGTTGTATTATCTTCCAAAATTGGACCCTTTAAATTTTTACTTTTTTTGGTTTTTTTGGTTGAAAAAAATAACAAATTCAAATTATTATTTTTTTCAAAAATGATGTGGAAATTAATTTTGGCGGGAAATCTACGTGGCAAACCACATGGAAGTTCATATGTGGAGAGGTTGAGACCCAACATAATCCACATCAACATATAACGTAGGATTTGACAGATAATGTAACAGAGGTAGAACATTGCAATAAATTCGTAAATAAGGTATGACACTGAAACTTTTTAAAGACAATGTATGAAATTGTTAATAACCCAATAGTTGAGGTAGTGTTAATAACCCAATAGTTAAGGTAGTTCTGTGTAATTTACCCAACTTTTTCACACACATATCCCACCATTTGTATAATGACACGTGGTGTACCACCTCATGTACCAGTCATATTGAAAAATATCTCGCTAACAACGAATTTGAGTAGCTGCTAGGCTAGGTTAGGGTGCGTGGGGAGTTTGAAGACAATGGGCAAAGGCTTTGGAAGCTGAGAAGACGATATGAGACATGTTGCAGACATTTGGGCTTAATAATCAGATTAATGGAAAAATTAATTAAAGCTAAAATAGTCTAAACCCTAATTAAATAACATGGCAATCTAAGTTAGCTTATCACATCACATGGTACACAAATGTGGTCTATTTAAGTGGTCTCCCTAGCATTTTTCTTCTTGAAAATCGTTTGTTAGGACTCAAAAAGAATAACTAAACCCTTTTAAGAGTTTTTTTTTTTTTTTTTGGGTGTGAAAGAAGGTATATACTTATCCATGAAACACTAAAATAGAAGGGTAATGCTATGAAGATCAAATTTCTAAACCAAATGATGTAAATGTTGATGATTAGATTATTATTCAAGTGTTGATTAACATGCTTATTTTCTATTGGTGACGCATCATTTGGTTTGCAAATTTTGTTTAAAAATTTAGTCTCCCTAACATTATCTAAAAAAGAATAATCTTATTATAAGAAGTCACTCATTTTTATTAGAAGCAATATTTTACACTAATTAGTACTAAGGAGAAAGAGAAGAGTTTATGTCTGATTATCCAAAACACAATAAGTTCAAAAAAACAAAACAAAACAAAACAAAACAAAAAACAAAAAACAAAAAAACTTTAACTATGAGAGCAATCCATCACATACCAAAATTAAACTCCATTCGAGTAAAAGCAACCCATATATATGCATTTGATTTTGAAGTTAAAAGTTTTGAGTGTGGCACGAAAAGTTGGAGTATGATTTTCTCTTATTCTATTACTATCATCTTCTATCCCCTCCTCGCATTCTTATTTTTGTCTTATTTTTTATATAAAAAATTCAAAACAGGATGTATACGTAGTGTAAGCACAACCGTTTAAATAGAAATGGATAAAAGAAAGAAATTAGAAAGAGAAAGAATTATGCTTCAGAAAATTTCACAACTTAGACATGTCGTATGAACCGTTCATCAAAGTAAATTGATGTAACCACGTGGTAATGGGAGACAACTTGATATGCATGCATAAATATTGCTCCAATTGTAAGGCAAGTGGCAAACTCATCCACAAATTGTCTCCTAAATTCTTGGTAATGGTATGATTTGATTTGATTTGATTTGATTTGATTTGATTTGATTTGATGCATGGAAAGTAAGAGCACCATATATATAAAGTTGTGGACTTATCTCAAAGGAAGGTAGGCGATCGAACACTTGTCGAAAAGGTTGTTGCATTACTATTTACTCAACTATGCAACATATTTGTGATTGTATTGTGATGGACACATATATATCCTCTTCACTTTCTTTTTGGGGTCGACGTCGGTGGCAATTAGCAACAAAAATATAACAGATAAGTTGCATGCGCTGAGTCAACTAGCGCAAGATTAATTTTCTGGCTGTATAATTGTATGAATATTCAAATCGATTTTTGATAGGTCTTGGAAATTTTAATTTCCTAACCTCTAATCTTTTAAATTGTTTCACATGTTAGCAAATTTTTCGTTTGACAAGTTTCTTTGTAGAAGTTCAAAATCTTTAATCTTGAGGTTGCAGTCTATTGCTTATATTTTCAAGTTCATTATGCATGTGCGGAAGTGCGTGTCGAAGTTACTGTCTAGTGGTAATATTTTCACATACAAATAAGAAGTTTTAGTTTCGAATATCATGAATGACGTATTCGATCTCAATTTATTCTCTCATCTTTTAGTGTAAATATACCTCTTCCCACGTAGCCATTAAAATGGCTCACTAAATGCCACATAGGAGGAAATTACTAAATTACCCTGCCACGTCAGCACATTCCATCTCATTTTGATGGAATATGTAGAATCCGGCCAAAAAGGAGTGACAATCGAGTTTCCTGGCAAAATTCTTATATTTTTGTTCCAGAAAAATAATTGAGATTAAATTCGAGTTCCAAGAGGCACACTAAATCATTGATCTGCTATGCAGTAGGCTTTTTGCAATATTCATACCAAAAACAACACTTTTACATCGAAGCAGTTGCAAATGGCAAAACATTTCATACAGAATCTAAATCAATATCTAACTTGAGCACATTACACTTTTGGGCCCAAACCATTCCTTCTTAAGGCCCAGTTCACAATCATAATCCATATGAAGAAGAGCTATTGGTTGTACGGGCTTCACTGTTGTAGGGAAACTGACCTGTGAAGGCAGGGAGCAGAAAAAGGCGGGTAGGCTAAGGCAGCTGTTATGGGTTGACCCGAACTGTTCTGAACGTTGATCCGTTGGTTTATGGTTTTCGTGGTTGGTGTTAGTTCACAGTTAGGAAAGAGCGAGAGAGAGAGAGAGAGAGAGAGAGAGAGAGAAAAGGGCAGCGGTGCCGTGGTGGTTGTAATTTCCATGGCGACCCTTCCCTCCTCCGTCTCCTCCTCTTCTCGTCCTCTACTTCCTCTCCGCCGCCCTCCTCCTATCTTCCGCTCCGTCACCACAACCACTAACTCCAGAACTAGAAGATTCTCAGCTCTAGTTTTCGCTTCTTCCGCTTCTCCTTTTGATGATCTTAGGCGCCCAATCCGGCCCCCCAAGTCCAAGGTCAGCTGTTTTAACTCTCTCTCTTGTTTAGTTAAATTAAGGTTGAATTTTTTTCCCTGAGCATGTAGAATTTTAGCTCCAATTAACTTGGTTTCATATTGTTGACCTAGAATTATGATCTAAGAAATGGTAAATTGTGAAAATGTGGACTGAATTGGGAGTGAGTTCAAAGGATTGAATATGAATGCCGAAGTATTCTTAGTACTTGTTTGGTTTCTGTGATTAGATTGGATTAGATAACTCCCTCGATTCAATCTATATTGAATGAAAAGGTGGATGCCACAAATCTCCTTGCAGTTGAAGGTAGAAGACGATTAGTCACAAGGAAAATTACCCCTTCCAATCCCCATAACATTGGTAGGATTGGGAGGGATAAGTTTTCCTCGGAAGGACTGTTAGACGCTCATCTTTGTGGTTATACCTAGGAAAAACTAGTTTTGTGTATTTTATGACTTTGCAAATTGGTTTTTTTTTTTTTTCTATTGGGATCGATAGTGGCTTCTCTTTTTCACCCCTGACACATACACACACACACACATTGAAGTCGATACTTAAACGACATTGGTAGCATCACAGATGTTCTATGCATATGTTAGATATCAATGAATAAGTTGATTTCTTGACAATAACTCCGTCATTTGTGTTATTTGCCCCATTCTTTTAGAAGTCGGTTCTCTCAGATTTGATACAAGAGATAGAACCCTTGAACGTGAGCCTTATTCAGAAAGATGTTCCACCTACTACCGTGGATGCCATGAAAAGGACTATTTCAGGCATGTTGGGCTTACTTCCATCTGATCAATTTCAAGTTCTTATTGAGGCCTTATGGGAACCCCTCTCTAAGTTGTTGGTTTCTTCAATGATGACTGGGTATGTCAATACTATATATCTAATACTACAAGTTATTTCATGCTTCACGACTTTCTTTTCAGCTGTTGAGAGAGAGACAACTCCACATTCTTATTATTTGGTGGTTGTTAATACCGTTGTTTGCTTTCCTCTATTGATTCCTGTTTTTGGTTTCTTCCACATCAATTGTCCAGTTATAAGTTTGGTGTTCGTATTATTTTATTCAACTGATAACCAGGTCATTAGCTAGTTAAAATTCACATACTATGTGACTTAAAGTGTACTTTTTCTGTTTGCCAACCGATATCAATCAAAATTTGGGGTGTGCGTACTTTACAAACTATTGTTTTTTTCCTTCTATTTCAGGTATACTCTAAGGAATGCCGAATATAGGCTTTGTCTAGAACGGAATTTTGATCTATGTGAAGATAAGCTTGAAAAACAAACACCAGAAAATGGTAAAGTTGATTTGCAAGGGATGTTGCTTGAAAGTGCAAATATTATCAAATTTCCTGGAAAAGATAAGTTTTCTTCCAATGCTGGAGAAGTTACTGAAGACTCATTGGAGAATATTGATATTCAAGGCCTTGGTGAAGTGTCTCCTGAGGCTCAACAATATATTCTTCAGTTGCAGGCTCATTTATCTTCTGCCAAAAAGGTATTAAATAGCTTTATATGGAATCTTTCATGGTAGGGAAAGGAGTTCAAGTTAATCATTTGTGTTTGTTGGACTTTGTGATTTATTGAATGGATAGCACAGCTCATCAGAATTTGATGCCAAAGCATCTAAAGTAACCTTTTGTGCTGTTCCTTTGAGATATGATAAAGTGACAATTGTTAAAGGCACCGTAGGCGTAGCACAAGGCTGTAAAGAAGTATTATCTCTGACTCATCAAGAAGGCCTCAGCAAAGTTGGATTTAAAGATTATATGTTTACCAATTCAAGTGGTTGGGTTTGGAAGTTTTTTAGGGTGTAACTGTATGTAGAATCGTTTGTTAGTGATAAAACTGACGACTTAGTCTTCTGTTGCAGGTAAATAGCCAACTGTTGTGTAGTTCATTTTTTGTCTAAATTGTTCTCAACACGTTATAATGTCTGGTAGACATGGCCTTACCAAGGTCATGCCATGTCATTAATAGTACAGAATGGTGAATTGAAGGGTTTGGTTAACATGAAAAGTCATGTCAGTCCCATTCTTGTACCACATAAACAGAAAGTTCTAATTGTTATTTTATGCTCATTGAATTTTCTTCTGATTGAAAATCTTTAGTATTTTTATTGGAGTTTTTTCATTGCAGTTACCGGAAACAAAAATGTTTGAATCTCTTTTTTTATTTTCAAGTTGAGTTTACATTCCATTGATTGAAATTTTCTCGATAATATGTTTACCAATTCAAGTGGTGGGGTTTGGAAGTTTTTTAGGTTGTAACTGTATGTAGAATCGTTTGTTAGTGATAAAACTGACAACTTAGTCTTCAGTTGCAGGTAAAAAGCCAACTGTTGTGAAGTTCATTTCTTGTCTAAATTGTTCTCAAAACGTTATAATGTCTGGTAGACATGGCCTTACCAAGGTCATTCCATGTCATTAGTAGTACAGAATGGTGAATTGAAGGGTTTGTTAACATGAAAAGTCATGTCAGTCCCAATCTTGTACCACATAAACAGAAAGTTCTAATTGTTATTTTATGCTCATTGAATTTTCTTCTGATTGAAAATCTTTAGTATTTTTATTGGAGTTTTTTTCATTGCAGTTACCGGAAACAAAAATGTTTGAATCTCTTTTTTTATTTTCAAGTTGAGTTTACATTGTCTTGATTGAAATTTTCTGCACTTTTCTCATCAACTGATGATTTGTTTGTGCTTAAACTCTAAAATTATTATCATGCTACTTTTTCACTTTCTTGAAGGAACTCCATGAAGTCAAGAGGAAAAGTGCTGCTCTTCAAATGCAACAGTTTGTTGGGGAAGAAAAGAATGATTTGCTGGACTATTTGAGATCGTTACAGCCAGAAGAGGTTGCTATTACTTCAACATTGAAAACTTTCTTGATTTGGTATTCGGAATAGTAGGTGCATTTACATTTTTGGTAGTAGATCTTCGTGTATACTGCTACTGACTGGTGCAACTACTGCAGGTTTTACATTATATTTGTTGATTGACTGATGTTAACTTTTTAATGCTAGTTTTTGTACACCAGTACCATGCTGCAATGAATAACAAAACTTTTCTCTATAGACTTTCCCTACAACATCGTAGATCAACAAAGTTTTCTCCTAATGCCCTTTCTTTACAAGACAGCTTAGGGGGAAAAAAACAGAGTAAATTTTTAATGGTTGGTCTAACTTCTTTTTTTCTTTTCCTCTCCTATGTACATCCAAACTGGTGCTAACGCACGATTTTCATTCAAGATAATGAGAAATTTAAGGATCATATGACAGCAGTTACTGATACTTTTGGTTCAACTTGGAAAATGCCAGGTTTACTGCTGACGTTATTTCACTGTACCCAGTTGCATTTCTAACATCATAACAATAATAGTGGAAAACATTGTCTCATTTACCACTAATTGACATAAACTATTAAATCTTCATCATTCTTTAACTCCTTCATTTGACCTGAAATCAGTCCGTGAGTGCAATCCTTCACTAACCCCATTTTTAAACTAATAATGTATGTTGACATGGCAGTCTAATTCATGTCCATGGATGTATAGAGATGATGTGGCTTTTGGTTAACTTTCGGACTCGTTGGAAGTTATCAGGTTACAGTAGCATAATTTTACATTGATATTTCTAAGTTTTCTTAAAAGTATTTAGGTTGTCATGTGGTTAATTATTATTAGATTTCTTTCTCCATGTAACCTTTGCAGTATGGTTGTGCTGTACTCTCAGGTAATAAAGTTTTAGTGTTAGCTTCTTATAGTACCCCGGGCAGGCTGGTCCGAATTGCTGTTTTGTTTGTGACTGACACGATTAACTCTATGAACAGGTAGCTGAGCTATCAGAACCAACGTCCCCTGAACTGAGAGAAATAATCCACTCTGTTATCCATGGTCTACTTGCAACCCTTTCTCCAAAGATGCATTCTAAAGCACCTCCTTCATCCGAGAGTGCCTCAGCTGGAGTAATAAATGGTGAGAGTGAAGATTGTGCGGAACTTGTTGAGAACACTTCACTTCATTTTCAGCCCCTTATTTCATTAACGCGGGACTACCTGGCACGTCTCCTCTTCTGGTTAGGCCAGCTCCTTACTCTTCTTATTATTATTATGCTAAGTGTCTTCCCCCATTATATTCCTTTTCTGTTGGGTGCCTGATTGATTGGAAATTGGGAATTTGTCCCTGCAAGTAGTATTTTGGCCTAGCAATTTCCTGGTGGTTTTCTTATGTCAAGTTTTTCCCAAGCCAATGTGCTAATTTTTACCTGCGACCTCTATTGCACTCCAAAAAAATCATAAGAGGGCTGCATGAGGACTTTTGTGGAGTCTGCTAGAAACAGCTCCCTCGTATTATTATTCTTTTGCCCCAATTATTATGTATCAACTGGTTTTCCAATAGATTGTGTAATAAATTTTGTACTAATCCAGTTGAATCGTTTCCTTAAGGTGCATGCTGTTAGGACACTACCTGAAGGGTCTAGAGTATCGGATGGAGCTGACGGAGCTTCTGTCCCTGACAAGCAATGCTGAAAGCGATACCCCTGATGATGATCAAACTGCATAAATGTTTGTCTCGCTTCTGTTTAAATGTGCATTCATGTGTACAAAATTTGCATTTTTCAATATGAAGACACTGAAGCCTGAAAGTAGGAACAAGTGTAGGCCACCAAACTACATTACTACCATTATTGTTAAGAATCAGTTATGCCGATGGAAATGTGAAGGAATATATTGCCCAGAAAGAAAGAGGGGGAATTTTATTATTTGTATACTGGAGACACAGCACACATTTCATTTGTTTAAGCTTAACTTGATCTGAAGACCTCTGGTACTTCCAACATGCTAGCAAACCATAAAATGCATACAAGTTTACCATTAAACTTGAAATAAGATGTTTGAGGAAACTAAAAATTAGGAATTACGGATGAGATGGTTCATGGAAGCCTCCCAATGTGTTATCAAATCGGATAAATAAATTTAAAAAATGATCTGAAACTATTACAATAATTTAAGAGAAGAAGAATTTCCTACTTACACATGAATGGAAATCAACACCCTTTCGCAATTAAAGGATTTGAAATCTTACAAGTTATGTTTAGTAAGGACCAGCAATTGAGCCCGCGCGATGCCGCGGGTTTTAAAATTGTGTTAAACATGTGAAGTATATTAAAATCTATTTACATCCATGTCAAAATTTATTTACATATTTATGTTATACACTACAGATTCTTATTAGTAAAGAACCATATGAGAAAGTGATATTAATGTCCCAAATCTTTGTGAAAACCCATAAAATGGTCACTTCCAAGTACAGGTTTTCCAAATACCCCACATGATATGAAAAAGTGAATCTGTCCCAAAGCTTTGTAAAAACTATAATAAGATCTCTTCCAAGGACATGAATTATATCACTCACAATTGCTACAACTTTTATTCAAATACAAACATGTATAATGCTTCCAGATTCAATTATCCAGAGACCAAATATTGGGAACTTCCGAATTATAAGCTCATTGGACATAATATCCCAACCATAGGCATATAGGGAGATTCGAAATCACACGGGTATGAAAAGAGAAGCAAAAGAAATAGCAAAAGCAGGATAGTCCACTCACCCTAGGTGAATATGCTCGTCTACGTTTCCAAAAATTAGTCCGTCACAGCTGCTAAATCCTTTTCAACTTTGTGCAAAAAAAAAAAAATCTCTTTCTTATGTTTACTTGAAGTGCTGATTTCAAATCGGTGATCCCTTTCTCATCCTGGTAACATTTAACAATTGCAATCAGTAAAATTTTATTGATAAGGGAAAAGAGAAGGGTAAGTAATAAGCAAAGTTGAGTTTCTTGGTTGCTTCATTAGATTTTGAAAAAAAAAAAAGTACAAAAATATAAAGTGCAAGGAAGATAACCCACAAATCTTAATTAGCAAGGACTAAAATACGCATTAAAGCATTTGGAGTCAGGATGCGTGTGTTCTGTCACTCTCTGTTCATGTTTACCTCAACCACAGCCAAAATTTGATTTTTCACACCCAATTTGATCAATTAAATGGCTTTGCTTATTGGTATCCTCGAAAGATGTCATCGAAACCACCCCCATTATCAGATAAATTAAAGAGGTAAAATCCAGGGACTAATGATTAAAGCAAGGAATGTATGAAAACAACTAAAATTATTGACAAAAGATACAACAAAGATAAAAGAACTCCTGTAATTGGAAGACAAAACCCAATACACAGTGAATGACGATAAACACGTTACATAGTAAAAGAAAACTACCTCAACAGACCATCCATCTATCCACTACAAATACATCTAAAGAGTAGCCAACGGTTGTCGAGAAGACATGTGCTTCACGGATGTTAAGTCCTAAATCCGAACGCAAGGAAGAAAGCTACAGAAAATGACATAAGTTAGAAAGATGCGACCTTAGTATGGTTCTATGTACTTCTGCAGTTATCTTGGATCCTACAACATAAACAATGCACATAATATATGTATCAAATGCAGTGAATAGTCTACTGCTACCCTTAAATTCAGATTCCACTTATCTCAGAATTTGAAGGATATAGATTTATAACTTTATATTAAAAGGTCGGTCGTACCCAGTGCACAAGGCTCCCGGTTTACGCAGGGTCTGGGAGAGGTGAATGTCGGCTAGCCTTACCCCCATTTATGGAGAGGCTGCTCCCAAGTCTCGAACCCGAGATCTACCGCTCATGGGCGAAGGCACTTGTCATACGTCTTCTGACAATTATATTTAATACCCAAGCTTACTGTATTGAGGTGCCATCGTGCTTAGAGTCTAGACTCTAGACACAAAAACATCTGATGGAGAACCATAAAACATGAATGACAGTCAACCACGGGAAATAAAATTATAGAAGAACCAACACACTAATAGTAATAGCATATAATTAAGCATCCAACTCAAACTTAATCACTAAGAGAGAAGTTTTCGTAATTTCTTTTTCGATAAAAGGAATGAACATCCTAATACATGGATAATGTTGTTTGGTAAACAACTCTCCTCCTCTGCTTCTTCAAAACTCAAAACTTTCACACTCATTGAATCAAGTAAGCCTTGTTAATACCCTTTTGGAGTTTGATCTACCAGTTCTTTAATAATGTAAACAAAACTACATAGTTTTATAGACACAATCATATAACAAAAGTCTAGTGGTACATTACTCTGAAGTGGCTAGAGCTGAATGCACATCTTCTAGATAGTTCTCAGCAGCAGCATATTGCCTTTTCTTGTCCTCAATTGCTAAAGCATCCAAAGCTTTATCCTGCACAAACAAAGTTCTAAAAAATATTAAGCGCTAGTCGGGCGGCGGGCTAGCACCTAACGCCTAGGCGGCTAGGTGGGATCTAGGCGGGCGCCTAAGAGGCCTAAGCGGATTTAGGTAAATTTTTTGTATATCTTGTAAATAATACATATTGACACTTACACAAAATTATACTTGTATGAAATCTATGAATAAAATGCAAAAAAAGTATCTAACAAGTCCAAAATTTAAAAACACATTAAGCATATATACCCTATAACTTAATACATTTTGAATGATTATATCTAATTTTTTTTAAAAAAAAAATCAAAGGTCGCACTTGGTGCGATGGCAAGTGCCTTCGTCCATGAGCAGTAGATCTCGGGTTCGAGACTTGGGAGCAGCCTCTCCATAAAATGGGGGTAAGGCTAGCCGACATTCACCTCTTCCAGACCCTGCGTAAAGCGGGAGTCTTGTACACTGGGTACGATCTTTTTATATCTAATTTTAAAAAAATAAAAGTAAAAATCCCACGTGAGTTAGGTGGTCTGATGTGAATATGGGTGGGTGGTTCATAGTAATTTAAAAAAAATATTTTTTATGTTTAATTTAAAGAGAAATAAAGGTGTTTGGATGTAGGGACTGACACCCCATCATTTTTTACAAGAAAAATCAATATGCAAGACTGACAGCCTATGGCTTTTGACAAAAAGCAAGCAACTTGATGCATGCTGTCAAAACTTGATTGGAGGGAAACTAAGAAAAAAAATTAAATAAGAAAAGTATGTACAGTGTACGTGGTGTGAAACGAAGAGAGAGAGAGAGAGAGAGAGAGAGAGAGAGAGTCATCTTTCATCGTCTTCATCCTTTCAAACCATGAACCAGAAACCAGAAAGACAAGATTGCAGCTGATCTGCATTCTTGAAAAAAAAGAACAAAACTGAAATTCCTGGACCGCCTAGGCCACTCAGTCGCTCGCCAAGGCCGCCCAGGCCGTCTCGGCGGCTGCCTAATTCATGTCCCGATTTTGAGTTAATCCCCACGGCCGGCCACACCCAACGCCTAGGCGGCTGTCTAGGCCGATTTTTAGAACACTGTGCACGAATACATATCTCATAAACCTCCCAATCTTTCTAGGACCTAAATAAAATTTGACCAATTAACCAAAGTAGAAAACTACCGGATGCTCAAAGTATCATGAACAGACTTTGTCTTCTCTAATTACTTTCTGTGTTCAGCCAATTCAACCAGCACCCCGTGGCTAATCTCTGGGGTGTAGTCCATGCAACCAAGTTCTGTACATCACATTCAAACCCCCCCCCCCCTCCCCCCAACAAACCCAGAACATTAATGAAAAAAATTTAATCCTTAAATTCAATTAGACAAAATCATGAATTTTTTTCTAAAGCCTAATTTTATTAAATCACAAATTCAAAAATGATTTTAACATGCAATACAGCTATAAGATAAGAATCCTTTTAGACTAACCTCGATGGTGGGCGTCGCCAGAATCGTCGGATTATCGTCAAAAAACTCGAATCCAATGTTGATGTAAAATTCAACATGGAAGTAGGACATTGTGATTTCTCTTGACAAAGGCTGCGGAGTTACTAGCTGCATAGACGTATCCTCAGTCACATTGTGAATGAGCACATCGTTCTTATTAAAAGTATTCCTCTTGTTGCCAAATCATAAGTGAAAAATCTTCTTTTGTCCAATAAGCCTGAGAAACTCGTTTGGTAATAGCTGCTAGTCCTCCAGTCTCTAATTCATTTCCAGGTCTTTGCAAGGCATGCCTAAAAGTTTCCCGCCGCATTTACCGATTATCAAAGGACTCATTTCATTTGTTTCATCTTCGAGAATGAGATTAACTTTGTACCTACATTTAGAAACTCAACCTTATGAGATTTTTTGAGAATCACAAATTGCCACAAACTAAATACCTAAATAAGCAGAACTAAAACAGATCACACACATGCAATAACTTTATTGAATTATACAATGATCATATGCAACCAAATATAACAAAAAAGAAAAAGGAAAATGAAGGAAAGGGGAAAAAGAAAGTTTTGCCATAGCAGGAAATGTTTTTTATAAGATTTAGGTTTATATGATGTTAATGAGACAAAAACACAAAGCAAAGAGAAAACAATGGTAACAAAAATAATTTTTCAAAGAACATCATGTTTAAGAACCATTCGGGACATCCATTGCAAAAACACTTCACAATCCAAAATTTAAAATTTTTTAAAGTGTGACTGTATAAAGAATGAAACTAAATTTGTACATTCCGTACTGAATGTCATTAGCCTTCTCTGTATCTATTTGTTCCAATCGGCTAACAACAACAAACCACAGGACAACCAGAAAGAGCCAATTTTTTTATTAGGTTTGCTTTAAACATTTGATTTAACATTACCAAAGCGTTGGAATCTGGTTGGGATGTTTTTGGCAAATGAGTTGGCCACTGGTTAGATCCTTGTGCATCTGTTTTACACAG